TTAGTTTATCATTTTTGAGTTAATAAAACTTACTGTAACTTCGTATAGGTAACTCGTGTATATGTATAGGTTACCAGAAAACTTGAGTGTTGCTAACGCAATTTGACAAGTTCAGCCAACTTAGAGATGTAAGTTAAGCTTAGTGCACAGAACTCAAACAAAACAGTTCTCTTAACAAGTCTGCTTTGTTCACATTACTAGACAAATGTGTGGAAACTGATTGCCTTAAATTTCTCAAGTAAGCTGTACTCAAAACTTAAAGTTGTTAATACAAAGACAGAAAACAGATTGTTAGCACAACAATAGGGCATTTATTTGTTTAAAACAATGTTACTTCAAGTCATTATTTTTTAGGCATGCTATCAAATCAACAATTTAACACTGTAAGAAAAATTGCACATACTGCACTCAGGAAATAAATAGAAAAAACAAATAAGCATCAACATCCCTTTTATGACACCTTGTAAATCTAGATTAACCATTTTCTAGAATTACCTTTTTCTAAATCAATAATGATCAATCATGAACAATTACACTGAAAAATGCTCCATCACGCCACAATGACATCTTTCTACATCAGAAGATTTTTCAGAAATTGCATTCTAGGTTCAGCCATTGAATGAAATCAAAGGTGTCCTTCAGTACTGGAGGATACTAAAATTTCATAGCATAAATCCAAGTCCAAAGAGCAAGCATATCTTGGGGAGGATTTTCCAGATCATCCAATACAATTGTACCTTCCAAAATGATTGCAGTAGACATGGCATTAAATGCAGTGAGTTAGGTATGGCTCTAGAGTCCTCAGCTCAGGGATCACGCTCAATAGGCCACAATATAGTTTATAAGTAGATCACCAAAAACTTATCTAATCTTGCGGCCACATTTCAAACACGATCTGACTCTGAAGTTCAGTTCGTTGTCTTCTTCTGGTGATGTTTTGTTTAAACCAAACTTCCGCCACCTACTTGTCTAGAGTTATTAGGGCACATAGTGGGATTTAATCCAACAAACTAGATGCTCTTAAGTACTGTTTACTAAAGTTGTTTAGTTTAACTATTGCATCCACCTGAAAGTTCACATAACACAGTGTAATTAAGTCAATTCAACAAATTTGTAAAAATCAGTTATGTTTACTCGCTTTTCTTAAGTAGATTCAGTGATTACTTTTTACAGTGCACCTTTCTTGACACAAACCTTCCTCTCACATGCAAGAAATTTGTCTGGAACTCCCCCTGGTCTGTTACTAAACACATTCCCTTCCAACAACTTTTGTCAGTTTTTTACAGACCTGACTCCTTTGTTTAGTCCGACACAGTCAGTGTGTTCTCCGTTTTTTTTTTACCTTTTATTTAACCTCCTTAATTATTACCTAATGAGATTTAAATACAATTAAAGTTACTCTAGATTAATACAATTTTGCTTCTCAAATAAATTGATCTTGATGTTTGACCACTTTACCTTTCAAATAAGTCACTGGTGTTTTTGACTCAAAGATAATGTCTCATAGATTTAGACATTTATTCATGTCCCTTGTCTGTTACTAAACACATTCCCTTCCAACAACTTTTGTCAGTTTTTTACAGACCTGACTCCTTTGTTTAGTCCGACACAGTCAGTGTGTTCTCCGTTTTTTTTTTTACCTTTTATTTAACCTCCTTAATTATTACCTAATGAGATTTAAATACAATTAAAGTTACTCTAGATTAATACAATTTTGCTTCTCAAATAAATTGATCTTGATGTTTTTTCATGGAATTCAATACAAAAAACAATACTAATTAGACCACTTTACCTTTCAAATAAGTCACTGGTGTTTTTGACTCAAAGATAATGTCTCATAGATTTAGACATTTATTCATGTCCCTATTTGTTCATTACTTGCGGTTTAGAGATGAGTGTTGATGAGCCAGAAGAAATGTTGGTAGATGATCCTGAAGACGTCCTGCGTTTAGTTGAGCTGTTGGAGGGAGTATCGGTGGATGGTCCTTTATTTCTACCAATTTCTGAACAGGAGAACAGGATGTGGTTTAGTTTAGCTTCTTAAATAAAAAAATAATAATAATTCAGCATGGATTCATTAAAATTCTAAAAAAAAAGTGACAGTAAAGACATCAATAATGTATTGTAATGTAAAAAAAAAAGTATTATGACTTCCACAAAAATATCACGGCACTCAAGCACAATATTGATAATTAGAAATGTTGTGCGGTATAAGCACCAAATCAGCATATTAGAATGATTTCTGAAGAATCTTGTGACACTGAAGACTGGAGTAATGATGCTGAAAATTAACCAACAGACCGGTCTAAGCTGATTTAAGTGAGAAATGGAGAACACTTACTGAAACGTAATTTGAACATTTCCTTTTTCCCATCTGCAGATCTTACAGTGGAAAATTACAAGCCTGACATCACAGTCTCTTACAGTAAATGTCAACCGGAAGAGGCAAGCAGTCCTGGGCAAGCAGCTTTGGAACGTAATGTTTTGAATGAACTAGGAATATGAAACTTTTGAAAACTTGCACATTGTAAAAAATTTAAAATGACACATACAGTACATCTGAATGGGTGACCTTTTGTTTTTAGGTATTTACCAGTGATTCCAATAGAGAAGTTGCATAGACCACGAGTATGGGAATGCTGATTAAACATTGCTAACTTTTAACATTCGAACAGAAGGATATAAACACCTTTATATTCAAGCTAACTTGATTATTGTACCGTGGTGTCATCAGTGATTTGCACTGTGGTACAAGCAGAATTGTTATGATGCATGTCACAACATTGTATCTTAAGAAAAAAAGGGTGGGCACACTGATGAGTTTGGCAGGCTTCACATCCTTGCACATCTTCATTCATATTCTGTCATCATGCAGCCTTCAGTCTCTTGTGCATTGGTGAGTTTGTTTGATCTTTCTTTGCATGCTCTGTTCATCAATTATTTATTAACACCCAAAGGGGTTGTCATTTTACAGACTTAATCTAAGGTTGAATGGAAGTTCACATTGAGATGAAAGCTTTGATTACATCTTCACACAACATATGGCAATGTCTATTTGCACGTGCATTTTTACGATCATAAATGGTTTCTATTCTCTCAGCTGAAATCTAAATGTCATCTGATCTTGAGTCAGAGATGTTACAGATAATAGATCATAGCGATCCGTGGTTTTTGGCCAGTTTGCAGTCATTTTATAAGAATTTTTGTGGTTTTTTTTGGCTTAGAGAAAACACGTGCTGTCTGGTCAAATTTTGTAGCAGAATCGGTGAAGTATGCAGTCAAAGTTCTTCAAAAACATCTGTTTTGTTCCACAGAAGTTTAAAAAAAAAAACATGCAGGTTTTGGAACAAAAGTGTGTGTAATAAAATCGGTTGCAGCCATTATCACCCTTCAGCTATGAAGATGTTCTCTCGCTGCTCATTGATATAGGAAATAAGTCACTACTTCCTGTTCCATTTTCTGTTAAATCATTTAGTAGTAAACCCTGAGCATTGAATCCAGTGAATGTAATCATTCTTTCGGTTTAGTTTAGCTTCTTAAATAAAAAAAAATAATAATTCAGCATGGATTCATTAAAATTCTAAAAAAAAAAGTGACAGTAAAGACATCAATAATGTATTGTAATGTAAAAAAAAAAAGTATTATGACTTCCACAAAAATATCACGGCACTCAAGCACAATATTGATAATTAGAAATGTTGTGCGGTATAAGCACCAAATCAGCATATTAGAATGATTTCTGAAGAATCTTGTGACACTGAAGACTGGAGTAATGATGCTGAAAATGAACCAACAGACCGGTCTAAGCTGATTTAAGTGAGAAATGGAGAACACTTACTGAAACGTAATTTGAACATTTCCTTTTTCCCATCTGCAGATCTTACAGTGGAAAATTACAAGCCTGACATCACAGTCTCTTACAGTAAATGTCAACCGGAAGAGGCAAGCAGTCCTGGGCAAGGCTTTGGAACGTAATGTTTTGAATGAACTAGGAATATGAAACTTTTGAAAACTTGCACATTGTAAAAAATTTAAAATGACACATACAGTACATCTGAATGGGTGACCTTTTGTTTTTAGGTATTTACCAGTGATTCCAATAGAGAAGTTGCATAGACCACGAGTATGGGAATGCTGATTAAACATTGCTAACTTTTAACATTCGAACAGAAGGATATAAACACCTTTATATTCAAGCTAACTTGATTATTGTACCGTGGTGTCATCAGTGATTTGCACTGTGGTACAAGCAGAATTGTTATGATGCATGTCACAACATTGTATCTTAAGAAAAAAAGGGTGGGCACACTGATGAGTTTGGCAGGCTTCACATCCTTGCACATCTTCATTCATATTCTGTCATCATGCAGCCTTCAGTCTCTTGTGCATTGGTGAGTTTGTTTGATCTTTCTTTGCATGCTCTGTTCATCAATTATTTATTAACACCCAAAGGGGTTGTCATTTTACAGACTTAATCTAAGGTTGAATGGAAGTTCACATTGAGATGAAAGCTTTGATTACATCTTCACACAACATATGGCAATGTCTATTTGCACGTGCATTTTTACGATCATAAATGGTTTCTATTCTCTCAGCTGAAATCTAAATGTCATCTGATCTTGAGTCAGAGATGTTACAGATAATAGATCATAGCGATCCGTGGTTTTTGGCCAGTTTGCAGTCATTTTATAAGAATTTTTGTGGTTTTTTTTGGCTTAGAGAAAACACGTGCTGTCTGGTCAAATTTTGTAGCAGAATCGGTGAAGTATGCAGTCAAAGTTCTTCAAAAACATCTGTTTTGTTCCACAGAAGTTTAAAAAAAAAAACATGCAGGTTTTGGAACAAAAGTGTGTGTAATAAAATCGGTTGCAGCCATTATCACCCTTCAGCTATGAAGATGTTCTCTCGCTGCTCATTGATATAGGAAATAAGTCACTACTTCCTGTTCCATTTTCTGTTAAATCATTTAGTAGTAAACCCTGAGCATTGAATCCAGTGAATGTAATCATTCTTTCTTGATCCATATTATTTCAGTCTAAGTGATTTTGGTATTCCCCAAAACACATACAGTACATAACGTGATCGTCAGTCTGACTCTCAACTCTGACTTTCATTTCGAATATACTTTCTTGTAATTACAGCTTCTGTACTCTAGTGATAATATATTTGAATGAAATATATTTGATTGATTACAGCATATAGATATATAATGACAGACATCTTTCTCTTGTTACCAGTCGTGTGACATGCCCTGACATGTCCACTACTACAGTGTGATGCTAATAATGCTCAACACAATAGCACTATTCTGTGAACAATCAAATAACGAATGCTTTAAAGTCTTCTAAATTTGAACAACTAATTTTGTACTTAATGCACTTTAATTGTAAGAAAGTAGTGATGAAGTCTAAGATATACCGACATATATTTGATTGTGCTAAAAGTGGAACTATTGCAAGCATAATTCAGGTACACTTTAAATATCTTGCATTAATAGTGACATTAAAACACATTTAGGCTTAATACTGAGAAATGTGCATTGTACACAAGCAGTACTCCAAATAAAGTTTAATTACAATTTTTATATCAGTAAGTATCGAGTGATATGTCAGTAAATAGACAATCAATAAAGTAAATAGAATATTAATAGATTTGAACTAGTATGAATGTGTGTCATAAAGAACGTTTCAGATGGCATTGTGAATTTTACATGAAATAGTAGCCTACTCTGTCTGGCTGACTTGTAAAGTTTGGTAGAAGTCCACATAAGACTGTTTTACTCACTGCATTTCTTGTATCCTTTCCTCAGTCATCTCCTTTGTCTATGTCTGTCTGTCCCTTCTCTGCATTCTCTCTCTTGTGGCTAAGCAGTAACTGAGTGCCTATATGATAGCAAACACCCATAGCAAAATAAAAAATTAATACATTTAAAATTGTTCCAATTCAGCAGACTTTACGTATACCAGTTTACTATACTAAAAGTACAATTGCAAGGTATTTTTTATTAAGCACATAAATATGTAAAAGTATTTGTAGTATACTTGGCATGAAATACATTTCAATACATTTTAGTGTATTTATTTTTCACTAGGGACATACCATTAGAATGTAAGTTATTGGTTACTACCCGCTAGCTACACCTCACTGACTGTGAATTCTGGATATCATCCAGCTCTTTGTCACAAAATAAGATTATAATAATAATACATCTTCTAATGCATCTTTGACTCAAGTGCTATCCACAAGCTTTACCCACAAAATATTTCTCAGCGCTAAAGGGGCATAACTGCAGTTATGTGTATGTGCAGTAAGTTTTTTGGTTTCTAATGAATAACAAAATTATCTCCATTTCACCCAAAATGTCACTTACACCCTTCTGGTTCTCACCTCTTGATATGACTGGCACCTTTCTTCAGGCCACACAGTACAGTCTTTTAGTCATGTGTTGCACAATATGGTCAACAAGAAAATTTCTAGGGCTTCCCTCCACTGAATAGTTTTCTGATTTGACTAATAGTCATCCATTTTAAGAGATTAGTTGACTAATCGCACATTTATATTAATAAACCATATAAATCATAATCACGAGCCTTTAATTGCCTATAGCCTATCAAAATAATTAATTGGTAAATAGTGTTTTCTGTCTTTCGGCTGCAGTGACAAAGTCAACGACACTGACTCGTCATCTCCAAGTGGATGTGAGTGTTTCATATGGATTATGTATCTGAAAATATTCGTTTTTCTATTTGAATTGGTTCATTTAAAGGGGTCATATGATGCGATTTAAATTTTTCCTTTCTCTTTGGAGTGTTACAAGCTCTTGGTGCATAAAGAAGAACATTTCGCTTTCTATAGATATATTTTTCATGTCTGTGAGATTTGGCTAATTTTTAAAAATGTATTTAAAAAAAAAAAAAAACGGAGATACTTAGACGGCAGAAAGCACATCCGGTTTGCTTTCATTATTCTACAAAAGCACAACGTTTTGGTGTTATTGTGACAAATAAAGTATCTGTATAATGCAGTGCAAACTGACATAACGCTTATTACAGTAACCTATAGAAACTATAAAATATATTTTCTACCTTATTCTGTGATAATCAAAATAGTATATGAACAAATCTTTAAATTGCCATTAGGAAAATATAGGAAGAAATATTACAGAATAGTAATTGTCCAGTGTATTTGATTTCTTAGCCAATTAAAAGTAAGAGATAAGAAAAAATACAATTAGATTAAAAAAAAAAATTTGAATTCTTATTAAAAATGTTACATTTCACATTTCTGTCGCCCTCACTTCTGAAATGATGGCCACACTTCTGACGCCTCTTCCTGTGTATTTTTTCCCCCTGCGACTAAGCGACTAATAACATTTTGATCGACTAAGCTATCTTCTCATCGACTAACAGTTAGTCGATTAAAGGGACAGCCCTCAAAATTTCCCCACAGAACGTTTGTGTAACGGGGCTGACGAGACATGAGACGTGTGGATCCATATGCAAAGCTTTATTTGGAGAAGACAGAGACATGGTCATCAGACAGGCAGGGTAATCAGTGGCAACCAGGAATATGGCGGGCAAGACACAAGAATAGTCACAGGGCTAGCGTGGGTCGACGGTAGGCAGACAGATTCACAGGGGCAAGGCTAAAGGGAGAAGTCCAGGAAAACAGGCGAAGATCAAAACCGAAGGAGACAGACAAGGCAAGGCAAAACTAGGCTAAGGCTAGGGCTAGGAAACGACTGAGGGCTCTGTAGTGTAGCTATCGCTAGGGGAGCGATAAACGCTAAACAATACTCGAGATCAACACCGAAGGAAAC